AACTCTCCCCTCCAGTTCCATATACAAGGTAATAGTTTTCTTATCCCCATACAGTAACTAAAAGGATTTCTGAATCCCACCGCTACCGTTCTAGTAACAGGTTGGGTGTGGGATCAGGTGGAATGGACCAAGCCGGTCCAGAACCAGGCCAGCATTACTTATTTCCCAACGAATATCACGTACGTACGGTTTTTGTACACTGTAAAAAGAGCAGTCCAATCTATGGATTCGTTCTAGCTATTTACTGAAAACAAAAATATATAAATAAAAAATCTATGGGTTCTTTCACTAGCGGTTTATGACTCATACGCTGATCAAATTCTTTTGAGTCTACCCAATCAAAATATTCCACATCAGCTTGTCATATGGTCTACGTGTACGGAGTTGACATGGTATACGTACCATAATCGATACTGTAGACGACGATCGGGAATTAACAACACTAGTCACCAGTGGTTCTCGCCCACAGCTTTTTCTCTTCTGTTTTCTCAAACCCTCTCTCTCTCTCTCTCTCTCACCTAACTAATTGCACGAGAAGGTACAGGTACTCCATTTCATCTGTGTGACATCTGAAACAACCTCCCGGAGGGGCGCCCTTTGAGTCCATAAAAGCCACCACAGTTCAAACAAACTTCACTAAACTATTGACTATATATATCGCAGTATGTATTAACAGCCGGGGGAGAGACAGAGAGAGAGAGAAGATGGAGATGGTAAGAAAGAAGAAGATAAATGCTGTGAAGTGGTTCCAGATGCCACTTCATTACCCAAGGTACACGAAGGAGGATTATGAGGACATGCCTGAGTGGCAGCTGGATAAACTCCTCGCTGAATATGGATTGTCGGTGCTCGGCGATGTAGCCTACAAAAGGGAGTTTGCAATGGGAGCCTTCCTCTGGCCTCCTGGTGTTCAAAACCCACCACAAAATTAATGCTATGCTTTGCTCCTTGGAGGCCTAATTCTCTTCTGAAGAATGGTTCTGAACCACTTTAGTCTTTTGTTGCTACCTTCTTGTTCATCAACATGTTTATGTTTTCTACTTCTTCCTACAATTCATATACTTCAGTGCAGTGCAAGCACTTAGAGTCAGAGATGTCAGAGAATGGAAGGCCTTCTTCCTCTTCATTTCTTTGTTTCTCTCCCGCCTTCATCATATATATATATATACTAGCTCCTTGGAAAGGCAAAAACAGTTGTCTTTCATTAGCTAGGGAAGTGCCCTGTTTACCAAAACTGGTTTGTGCCCTAATTAATCAATAATCACCATCAATGAAACAAAAGGTTAATTTCAATTCCTCCATATCAACTTAATTGGTCAAATGGGTCCATGTCCACCCACAAATCTTTTGGCTTTGGCATTAATTTCCCCATTTGACTCAGCTTTTGAGTTTTGAATCTTCATTCCTCAATTAAACTATCTTATCAGCTTATCTACTAACTAAAAAACCAAAGACAGAAGGAACACCACGTGGGCTGAAGCGGAAAAAAAAAACAACACGTGGGGCCCAGCCTGTTATTAATTCCTCTGACGGTATCAAGATTTATGAGGCAATGCTTAATTAAACTTCTTTTGAGAAAAAATGGGGGGTTACTGTTTAGTCCACCCCCAAAAAAACATATTCTTTATCTAAATTTTTAAATTTCATCCTCTGATGATCCTGATCCTTAGTAATGAAATTTTGCTTACAAGAAAGGATACAATATGGTTAGAAAAGAATGCAACATTTTACCTTTTTGCATCATTGACCCTAGCTAAATTCTGTTTTTTTTTTTAATTTATAAAATGGGCGATTTTTTTTCAAGATTAATACATTTGGGTATGTTTTGCTCTTTTACCATGTTGTTTTCTTTCCCATTTGCGTCAAAAAAATTAGAATAGAGAAACGAACGTAGCCACAAGATGTAAAATTGTCATAAGCATAAATGAGAGTACAAGGTGCACTTTGGGTAGGCCTGGATTGATCAATTATTAAATTTCTAAGAGGCCCAAGTAAAATTAAGGTTCAGATTGAGAAGAGTATAAATACAAATATGTACATTGTAAATACAAGGTTTTATTTTGTACATATTTGTATTTGTATTCTTTCTAAAATGAGCTTAATTTCCTGGGTGCAAGTAGAAAAAAATTCAAGGATTCAGGATCCATTTGGTTCAGAGAAATAGGGGTCTAGAATTGTCCATTCCAATTCCAACTGTTTGGTTGGGCCAAATTAGAATTCTATTCCCATTCCTAGTGAAATGGTATTCCCCCATTTTAGAAAAAGGTCATTCCCTCCCCCTTCCTTGGGAATGAAATCCCATTCCAGTTAATTTCAATTCCCATTCTAATTTCTGTCTGAACCAAGCAAACTATGAGAATTCCAATTCTAATGGATTTTGGTTCTGATTCCTATGTGAACCAAATGAACCGTTACTTTTTTAGGAGAAAGCAACTTACCATACTAGATAGGAGAGAGAATTATAATTATAGATGTATTTAGCCAGTAGAACGAAATCTTCTCCTTTGTCTTAGATGGATAAGTTTAGTTTTATTTGTTTTCTTCCCACTCTTGGGGAGAGAGCCCGGGGTTAGTGTTGTTTATGTTCCTAAAACCTCAGTTTGAAAAGAGTACAAATAAAAACCTTGTATTTTGTATAATTTTGTATGTATTTGCACTGTATATTTTTTTATTTGTACTCATTTAGTTTGGAAAGAATACAAATACTAATACGTAAATTACAAATGCATACAAAAGAATTAATTAATACAAAATACAAGGTTTTACGATCTACATATTTCTATTCGTACTACTTCCAGAATCCAAACTGAGCCTAACAGACAAACCTTTAAATGCAAACATTTCAAACAAAAAATAACTAGAAAAAGCTGCTCTTCCTCTCAGCAGAGGACTAAGACCAAACTAATGTTATGGACTTCTCATGATTGATTTTAAGACCCACTGCAATGGCGGCACTTCTTAATATACTCCGTGTTTATTTACTCTGCACTCTGAAGCCGAAAAAAAAAAGCAATTCAAAACATGACTGAGCATTGGAATCTTCACCAGTAGCATTTTAATAGGAGAATAAGAGAATTTGGACACCAATCGTGTTCGMGTAGAGCTTGATTCACACCTAGTTGATGATATGAAGACTACAAAGGAATGAATGACACAGACTACACAACACGGGCGGGTGGCCGCGATTTCCAACAATCCAGCCAAGAAGAATACCAGAGATCCCTAGAAATTACAGCATTGTTTGAACACACTTGAGGGTTTTTCCTAGCTTCATCAGCCACTTGATTTATCTCCCTGTACTCATGAGTGTACCTGACATCAAAGCCATGCAAGATTGAATATATCGCAATCAGTCTTATAATTCTCTCAATGCTTCATGGAGGTTTCGTTTGGTGCTTAGAAGGTCTCAGAATCATCAGCTCATCTTCTTAGGGCCCATTGGGAGGGCTAGCAACAGGATCGAATTTGACAATTTGTTGCCTTGGCAGATCTCAAGATGAAATTTTCATCACCTTTTTTTATTTGTCCGTTGGATTGGAAGTGGTTGAATTGAGATAAGACAAGGTTCGTGTTTGAGTTAGTTTAGGAGAGTAGAATTTGAGTTTGTCTCTTTCAATCTATAAATAATTGTCATGTAATTCTCACATTCAATGCAATTCTTTCTATCCATATCTGATATTTCACATGGTATCAGAGTCTGTTTGACCAAGTGTTCTGGTGAATGGTGATCGATCCTCGTCGCCCCTACTAAACCCAGATTCACCGGAACATAAGCCTCTACATGTTATAGTCCAACAGTGGCTGCAACTACAAACATTGCAATATCATTTCAATAAACACGAAGTTTCAGTCTATATTTCAGCAAGTTTTGCGTACTATTTTAGTTCATATGGGAAGGCAGGAACAAGAAAATCCATGAAAATTAGCATATGCTGCCCACTGGTATCCTTCAAAAATTTCAACACTATTTGTTGACTGACTCGGTTTAATTAATCAGCTAGCTAAGCATAGCAGCACAGCAACCCATCAATGTCGCAACTCATTCAGCTTATGCATCTCTCCATATATTGAAAGTTCGTATGATCCTGAAATAGGTTTTGCAAGACGACGAGGGTTCTTCCTCGTTCCCGTAGCAGCATCACTATTGCATGAAGGAAGCGCATGCTATGAAACTGGGAGCTACAATGCAGAACAGCTTCACTTGGGTTAGAAGCAGCTTCATCACAAAGTATGCAGCTAATATATAATATCTTTGGAAATTATAAGGAGAAGCCTACCATATCGACAGATTACAGAACAGCTTCACTGGGCGGGTTGACTCAAGCTTTCATTTCAATCATTTTATTTTGTTCATGTAAATAGAGATCGTAAAGATTGGGTTATCTTTTTTTGCTTATAATCTAATCGATATTCCTCCTTTGGGTTAATCTTCACTAAGAGCCCGCTGGCAAAGGCTGAATTGCTCGTTGGCTTGTCTTTGAGTGAATAAGCAATTACAACCTCCTAAATTTGCTGAATAGCATATTGAGATTGATCACTGAATAGCATATTGAGATTGATCACTTTACCCCAAATATCTTAACAAGTCATTTGTTATTAAACGAGTCAGACGTTATCAAAACATCTAGAGCTGCAAAATTGATGATTATATATTGTATGTTCAAAGTCCCAGATTAATCTTGTAATATTATAATGATTTTCAATTTTATTTATTAATGAAATTCAATTATCTGACTCCAAGGTTCAAAATTGATACAGTGCAATATGCCGGTAGGGGTGTATCGGACTATATCGTGTGTCACTCCACCTTTTTTGTCTTTTTTTCATGGTTTAGAGGGGTCAGTTTAAGGTCCATACCTTGAATCAGGTTAGACCCCAAAACACCACTTTGTCTGATTCCAATCCAAWTGCGATCTGAATGAATGGGCAAGATTCATTTCGAATTTCGAATTTGTGTTAAACACCATTTAGTTTAATTAATAAAAAGAAACAAAATCCCATGGAAGAACACTTATTTCCAACATCTAGAGTTGCAACAACTGGTCCATTTCCAAAACAAAATTTTTGGGGGAAAAAACAGTTAAAAGGAGAGAGAGAGAGGGGGGGGGGAACACTATACCCAATAGTTAAGTGATTGTTAAGGAGATCAAGAGTTAGGAGCTAAATAAGCCTTGCCAACGGGGCAAAGTGCTCGAGGGTCAAACAAACCGGGCATGCCGTAATGTTTAAACTACATTTTCACCATTTGGTTACGATTTCATGGCTGGCACGCTGGTTTTTCCTTCTTTTAGCAGTTAGCATAAAGGAATGAATACAATAAGCAGCTGCTCAACTAAAGATTACCACCTTCCCCAACCCCAAGGTGCTAGTGAATCAGATGATCAGAGTCGCCTTCGCATGTGCCTACTATTAGGATCAAGCACTGCTACTGTCCCTTCCGCTGCTAAATTGATCCCAATGCCAATGTTACTGCTGCCACTCCTCTTCCTGCTCAATAGCAAACTTGAGTCCTCACCTGCTAGTGCAACCGTTTCCAACAGCTCAGAAACCAGCAAAGGACAGCTCTCTTGCAAGTAGCCAAACCCTTCAGAATGCATTACCACTGCCATCAGAAGAATATGCCTATCAATGTCATGTTTTCTAAATTATTTCAAAAACAAATAATGCAAGTTCACTGGGAAAACCATTGGAAAGAACACKGGTCATTGTCTCTAGGAAGAACAACTCTATGCTGAAAATTGGGTTGATCGCTATACCCTTAAGTATGTACCATGGGACTATTTAATCCACTAAAAGAAATGGAAATAAGTCATTTAGCTCAGCCACCTTGCCATTATCAAAGAGCCCCTTGTGCTCTTTCATAAGACATTCATTCTTGTAGAATTGCATATTTAAAATAAAAGTAAAAATGTATATTGAACCTTTTTTTTTATCAATAATGTATATTGAACCTTGAATCATCATCCAGAAGAAATATTACCATAATCATTACAAAATATTTATCTTTAAATCTCCTCTGGTGACAACTTCCCTCGTACAGTTTTTTTCCTTGCTTTCACAAATATAGTTTCATTTTTTAGAACTTATTGTTCATTGATCATTACAACCATTTCCTGACAAAAGAAATGCCATGATATTAACACATAATAGCATTATCCACTCCCACCTCTTGTATAAATTTCACTACCAAAATAGAACCCCCTTGGGATTATTCCATTCTTTGGATACTCATCATAGAGTTTTAAGTTCTGTCACTAATCTTTTTTTTTGGTAGAAACTGTCACTACTTAAGTCAAGTTCCCTAGTCCCAATTCTGCAAAAAAAAAATGAGATTTTAATCCTTGAATACAGAATATGTATAGTTATTTCCCCCAGAAAGGAAAATCTGTATCACTTCATGTTATAACAATATAAAAAATGAAAATAATCATGAGTGATATTATGATGTGAAATGCAAAATAGCTAATATTCAAATTAAATCATGAATTATTTGGCTTCAACCTGAAGCCAGAATGAGTTATCAGAGTTAAGTCGCTACACTTGTAGCTAAACTTGATTCCTTTTGGTTGATCATTTCTGTCATTAGGAAAGATGTCTAGATATCTATCCAAGAAGCCCAAGATCATGTGAATTAAGACATGAACAGTGTGTTTGATCCAATTACAGACAGCCAACAAATTTGTGTTGTGGCTGAGTCAGTGAGGAGTTTTATTGGTTTCAGGATTTATTTTGGTAAAATACTATTTTAAGAGTTATTATTTTGGTAAAATACTATTTTAGAAATATACATATATATATAATGGATCAAGAGTTCTTTAAAGGCTTTTAGGAGTTCAATTCAGTACTGAATATCTTYAAACTACAGTATGATCTCGGTGCCTTTAGGAATCTTAGATTAGGGAAAAAAGAGAATAGAACTTTAGGAATCTATAGAAGCTCTTACAGTATCTGTAAGAGATACAATCTTCACTTTGGCCATTTAGTATTAACTCTAGAACTACAGCCTTTCTTTTAATTAAGGTTGCTGACAAATCTAATCAACTTTTAAATGATTCTGAATCATGCAATTAGGTAACAAATCAGACCAACTCTAGAACTTGATTCCTATATTCATTTAACAGAATAATTACTTCTCCAAAACCCTGATTTCCCCTCTTAAACATAAGAGAAAAATCTGTCATCACATATAAAAAGGCCATTACCTAATGTTGGTCCCAGCTATCTGGGATCTTAGGACTGGGGACTGGATAAGGTCCTAATATTTGGCATTTAACAGAAATCCATCATCACATATCCACCCAATAATTGACAACATAAAACTGGAAATAGCTAGAGAAAAAACCCATAGGCCATATCATATTTGGTTGTAAATTCATCCCAGAATTTACTCAGTTCAATATTGCAGCCACCYAAAGTTTCATAACAATAGGCAGCTGAACTGATTGATTTTCTGCACAGTGGTCATGGGTACCCAGTTCTGCCCAACATCACCCACTGACACAAGGGTGAAAGATGGGTAGCACATTTCAACATGCCAGGGGTGCATTTGAAAAGTACAAAGATGCTTTCACAGATTACCTATAGACATCTCATAACCTGAAAATTGCATCTCTCAGATTCTACGAACACCCACCTCCCAAGTTAGATGCAGCAAATTTCAGACAGATCATCTTCAGCTGTGAACAATGATGTTGCTCTGCTAGGGCCAAGGTTGTCATTACTGTGTCAGCATTTACTTCCTCACATAATTTTGCTTCACATAACAATTTCAGACGATCCAAACCAAACCGATCTGCTGCAGCCAATAGATGTTGCACCATGATTGTTGATGTACACGTAGAAATCGAGCCTGTGAGTTCATATACATCAGGAAGCTCATCCGTGTACATGAACAGGAGCATGGCCTGCAATACAACACGGAAAGTTCTTAGAAGTTTAGACAACCAAAAAAACCCACAACAATATGTTTGCATGGATGTCAAAAAGCTATTTTGGGCTGTGTACGTAAATCACCAGACACTTATGAGAGGGACCACACCTGGTTCTAAAAAAGACAGGCCAAAAAGGCTCACTAAACCATCAGCAAACAACCATAATACACAAAATTCTGACGGTAAACAAACCAAGACATGCCCTAAAAAGAATAGATTGGTGGTGGTTCTGGTTTTTCTTATCAGTAACAATGAAAGCGGTCTATTATTTTGTTTGAAAGAACATTTGCAAAAGCAGTAAAAAGAAACATAGTAGAACAGTTTGACACCAGAGGAATACATGCACTAGTTATTTTTGAAGGTAGTTTCACCCACTGTGGAATTGACAAACTATGGCCAACTGGTCATCCCCAAGGAGAATAGCACATGCAATATGAAGGTAGTTTCACCCTCTGTGGATTTAACAAACACTATGGCTAACTTGTCATCCCCAAGGAGAATAGCACATGCATTATGGATTCCACCTCCTTTCTATCAAAAATTAAAATGAACTTYGAGGATTTAATCTATCCACTCTAGAAATGGGTCTGCAAAAGACATGGCAATAATAGTAAAATGGAAGGGTGACAAGGGATCCCCTTGCCTAAGAAATGAGATGATTTAGGGCATATTAATCCAAAGAAGGGTCACTTGGCTACCTCATTCTGCCAATGAACTTGCAGGCAGTTTGGAAAAAGGAGGGTACAATGTAATGAATCTAGATCAGAGGTGGTCACCTGAGGCTAGCCACCTTGTARGGAAAGCAGAACTACTCCTTATACTCTTTTTTATGAACAACAGAAACTGATTTATTAGATTAATAAAGAGAGTAGAAATTAAATAAAGGGAGAAATAAACTCTCTTAACTCTTCCAAATACAGACATACTCCTTATACGCTTTAATATTAATAAAATTCAAACTTGTTATTCATCAAAAAGAGGAAAAAAAAAACTCAAGGCTACAAAAAGTCTTCCATAAATTCATTCACCAAAAGTGAATAGTGACAAGATTCTAAAGAGCCTCATCTTTCTCCAATGCCACTCTTCTCTGAGGCCAAATCCAAAAGGATCAATTCACCATATCGTAGACTTTTTGTACTAGAATTTGTATGCCTTGAACAAAGGCCCCTTGGGATTGGGTTACAATTGATGGTTATACCTCCCCTTGAAGCAAAGGGAAAGGACCTTAGATATTATTGTGTAGAATCTTCCAACCAAACTAATAGTTTTAAAATCTTTGAGATTGATGGCTTCAGTTTTTAAATCATTATCATCATCAACATCCTAACCTTAGCCCAACTATATGGGGTTGGCTACATGAACCCTGTTTTGCCATTCTGTTCAGTTCTTTTTCTTACCAATAACTATTAAAATTTTATTTAACAGAGACAAGAATATCAAAGTTTACATCCTCTAATGGAAGCTAGCCTCAGCCAACCACCTTACAGCCAATTTACATCAAAGACTTTATCCCTGATCAATAAGACCAGTACGACTATCACCAGTTAATCCCTTACATTTGTAGAAACCCCCTTTTTCAGTCAGCAAGTATGAATTAAGAATTTAAGACCCTAGCACAGACTTTTCAGGCTTGCGTTAAAGAGCTTTGTCAGGGTTCAGGGGCAACGCCAAATTTAACTAGGCACAAAGCACACCATGCTTTTTCAAAAGGGCTGCACCTAGACCTAGGTGAGGCACAGCCGCACAGGCCTTGAAATGCACCTTGCCTGTGCGCATAGGCATGCCTTTTGAACCACTAGCCCAAACAACACTTCCTCATTCCATACATTTACCTATCCTTTTATATTATTCAATTTCTTCTGGAACATGAAACCTCTCTATCTTGAATCCACCCTTTCTCCCCACCAAGAGATATTTCCTTTGAATGAAGAGTGTATCAGCCACTCATTTTTGAACCTAAAAGGTGATGCTCCTCCTCTAGGCAGGTCTTAGGAATAGGACCATATATTGATCCCAAATGGGCGAGCTCTATGTGACAATCCTGACCAACACACCTCCTAGCCCACAAAAAAAGGGGAGAAAACTATCCAACTTGGAACAAATTAAAATACTCTGAAAGTTGGTCCATGTAAAACTAGCTTGAAACAATGGCAGCTTCTTCAGTTAAAAGCTATTTATGAACTGGCTAAATCTGCTCATACTAGTAGGGTTCATGAGCAAAGGGAATAATGTTACAAACCCCTCCACTACACCAAGGGCCCTCCCAGAGACCTCTCATAGCAAACAGCTCTTCCCATAACTCCCTTCTTTCCCAATGATGTTGCATCATAGACATCTATTACCACCCACTCGAAGTTGTCATTCTGGTTACTTAAAATTTACAGAGATTGAATACCTTCCCATCAGCTCCTCCAAATCATCCATCATAAATAGCAATGTTCTGCATCGTTATTATTCCCCTAGAAGAACCCCATAATGGTGTGCTTGGCCATCCTACATTCCTTGTAGTCCAAATCATCTAAGTAAGAAGTAGCATAGCAAGTTATCATTGATGATTCTTCCATGCAATTTATCCAACCTTGTCCATTTTTCCAATTCCACACCTTTTGACTCGTTATTTGTATTTACCTTCTCAACCATATGAACCACCACACAACTCCCAAACTTTCATTGCAGATTTGCAGCCAAGAATCATTAGAAGAGGGGGCCTTGACTGTGTTCACACACAAGGTTGGCATTTTGTCATCAACTAGCTTTTAATTTCCTTTTCCAATTATGCAACTTTCAAGTTTCCAATGACTCGAGTAATTGCCAAACCTAACATACCTCTTGAGCCTGGTCTGGCTTAGCTTCATGAATAACCCCTGGTTTTGCCCAATCACATTGGGCAAGCTGGAGTACGCTCCTTCATACTTCTAAACAGACCAGGGGCCACATCCAGCACCCCAAAAAAACAATTGTATAATCTTCCTTCACATCAAGCTACCAGCTGTCAGGTTGGCAGACTATGTGCTTAGCTTTCTATCTACCCGTATCACCTTGGTTTTAATCTGGGCCCTTTGATCAAACATGGGCAGGGAGGATTGACCTGACCCATCAAAGTACAGGGTTATCTCCCCTTCCTCAGTAAAGTCTTAAACTACAAGGTGCAGGGCAAGACTTGTGTTGGGAATATAAAAAGTTCACTGCATTCCTGTGAAGATCAGAAATAGAAATTACTTTAAAATACTCTGAACTGGTGGCCCAAAGGAAGCATCTGTGGGAGATCATGGAAATGAACTCCTCCCTGTTTTTAGTCTTCTTGTTAAAGACATGGCTAATTCTCTCTTCCCAGACACTCCAAAAAAAAGCATGAGCAACAGATTGCCACAGTGTCTTTCCTCTTTTGCCGAAACCTCTTCCTATCCACTGTCTTAATAATTCCACAACATGTTCTGGAGAAACCCAGCTATGATCAAACAAATTAAGAAAATAGTACCAAATCTTCCTGGTTTCCTTGCAATGAAGCAAAATATGATTAGTCGATCCCCATCTTTTAAACAAAAACAACAAACATGTGGGGAGAAACAAGTTCTTCCAAGATTCTTTTTCATAAGAAGATCGTAAGTAGTAGTTCTCTTCAAGCTGGCTTCCCACACACACACACATACCCCAAAAAAAAAACCCGGACCCTGAATGGAATATGAAAACACCAAATTCTCTTGGAAGGACACTAACCAGATGTCTGATCTTCAGCAATCAAAGCCTTGAAACAAGACTTGGTTGAGAACTTGCCTGCCGGATGAAGGGTCCAAACATGGAGGTCAGAAGCACCAAGGGAGAGGTAGACCTCTCTAAGGGTGTAAAAGAAATTAGCAACTTCACTGATTTCTGTGTCACTTAGCAGTCTTCTAAGGTTCAGGTTTGTTGAGATGAGTGAGGGCAGAGGATAAACAAAGGAAAATGTGAGCATCTTGGTTTAGAGTAAGGCTGAAGAGACAAGGAAGGAAATAGCCAATGTAGAGTCACCCCACCATAAGTCAGTCCAAAACTTTATCTTATCCCCATTGCCCACTTTGTATCTAATGAAAGAGATGAAGAAATTATAAGTGGAGACTATACCTTTCCAAGAGTTGGTGTCTTTGACCCAGTTCAAGTGAATGTTGCTATCCCAACCATTGGCGTGCTTCCCATAATTATTGGTGATGACAACGGTCCAAGGTGCATTTAATTCTAGAGGGAACCTCCACAACCATTAATGAGAAGAGCTGTATTTCTTTCCTTTAGGTGACCTATTCCCAGATCTCCTTCCTCTTAGAGATTTAAAAGGCACGCCCGAGGCATGCCCAGGTGCACAGGCGAGATGCATTTTAGGGCATGCACCTCACCTAGGTCCCAAGCGCAGCAATGTTTTAAAACGTGGGGGCGTGAAACGAGGCATTCCACTACCTAGAGGCGTGAGGCGTAGTCCAAAACGCAAGAGGCGTAAGCCTCCCGAACACAAGGAGGCATAAGCTTCCTTAAGAGGATGGGGGTTAGGAGGAGGAAGGGGAGGAGGACGAAGAGGAAGGGGGGATCTCATTTTTTCTTTATTTTTAATAAAAATCTTTTATGTTAAGAAGAATAAAGATGCATAACATTAGTTGAAAGGGGGAGTCTTGTCGAAGCAGAGCAAGACCCCCCCTAACTCAAAAAAACAAATTGGGCTACATCGGAAAGGGGGGCGGGTATCTTTCGCCCCCCAACCAAAAGGGGCAGGGAGCAAACCACTTTCTTTCCCCCTATTTTTTCTTCCCTTCCCTTTCCTTTCYTTTTCTTCTCTTTTTTTCTTCTTTTTCTTTTTCTTTCCCTTCTCTTTCTTTGCCTTTCCTTTCCTTTCCTTTTTTTCTTTTCTTTTTTTTCTGTCTTTTTATATAAGATGTGCATGAGGTGTACGCCTCAAAGGTGCCAGCGCCTCCAGGTGTATGCCTCCCACGCCTTTTAAAACATTGCTT